TTCACCATCCTGCCATTTCCACAAAATTAGAATTCCTGGTTCAGAAAAGGGCTTTCAGTTGGCAGTTTAGAGGTGATCTGTGCAGAACTCTGTGCTTTTCTGTCTGCAGCAACAGGTCAAGTAAGAGACAAAGTCAGGCATCACAGAGCATCAATGGAAGTAACAAAATCCAGGGATATCAATGCAAGGGTTTTTCCAGATACAGCATTGAGTTTATCTCATCCACTGTACACAGAGAAATATTAGGAACTATGGCAAAAGTCTAGGAGATTAGGAGGTGCCTTGCTAAATTGGCTGGACATCTTCCAAAAACTTCCTTCAGCTCAGCAGCCTTTAAATGAGCACTGGGGGTCAGAAAGGACAATTGGTGTGTGTTTCCAAATGGGCATATGAGGAATGTAACCTGCTGTGAGGCTGGATATACCTGTGATTGAGGTAGGAATGGTTTATCTTATTTTGAGATCATGTTTAAAGCCAGTGAGGTGCCATCCGTGGGGTAACCAGGAATAACAGCCCTCACTGCAGGTTACCATGACCACCTGTTTATCTGGAATGACTATTTACATTAGGAAAAGGACTGCAAATACATCAACACGTGACAAACTTGCATCACTGGAACTGCACAGGCCCACTGAGCCAGAAGACAAGCAGAGCTGCTGCTGATACAGCACAAATTTCCCACGTGAGCAGGAATGTGAAGATCAGCCTCTCAGGGCAGACTCGACCCAGACACTTTGCCATGGTATGTGTATGTTGCCCTCAGCAAGAAGTCCATCAAAAAAATTATGAAGCTTCACAGTAGGAAAAATAACTAAAACAAAAAGTACAGCTGAAACCTGTGAGCATTTCTGTACAAAAAGTGACACGGTAACACCTGCGTGTGATCAATTCTTAAAAGAACTGAAGGAGAGTTATGCAAATACTGTGAAAGACAGAAGGAAAAACACACTCCTGGAGGAAAATCACAGTCAATGAGGGAAATCTCAGAGTAGAGTTTTGCAATCCAGAAGCAACAGGTCCCAGTGAACGTGTCTTAAGAAAAAATCCCGTCCACCCACTCACGTCCTCTACACACTGTAGAGAAAGGGTCCTACGTGTAAGGTATAATCCAAAAGAAAAAAAACACCTATAGCTAGAGCAACTCACTGGAATTACAGTCACACTGAGGATAAAGAGTAGGGTAAGGAAAAAAAAAACCCATTTAAAATAATGTTAATGCAGTAACTGGATATAAAACGGGCACAGATGAACATCAATGAAAAATGACACGGAGTATTTCAACCATTAATGAGGTGAGGGTTTGGACTAGCCAGAGAAGCAGCACTGGCAAAAAAACCTTCCTAAAAACTAGGTTTAAGAGCTAAACCTCTTCATAAACTGCCCATTGACAAGAGTACCCACAACACCTGACACGCATTGGAGACAGGGAAGGGCCACCAAGGCACAAGGAACGCCAGGACCTGGAATCCTTTTGAACCCTCTGGAATTTCCACTGCTTTGGCACTGTTTTCCAGCTCATGATCTTACTGAGACACCAGCCTGTGGGGAAGCCAAAAGTCAATGCAGAGAAGATAAGGACAAAGACCTAAGGAGCATGAAGATGACTGCATTTGAGATACTGAATAAAATCACAATAGGGAAGATTTCCCAGCCAAGTGAATCAACTAATTATCAATTCATGGATTTTATATATTGAATAGAAACAGAGACTTGAAAGCAATTATTTTTTTAAAGATCACCTGGGCTGGACACCTCATTCTGTCCTATGAAAAGGCCAGGCAGAGAATTTGCTTTCAAAGGATATTGAACACGAATATTATGTGATATGGGAAAACATCACGGCAATGCTGACCATAAGGCTTTACAAAGCACAGGGAAAAAAAGGAAAAAAAGCTATAAACTGAAATCTACAGAGGGAAGCAGGAGACAGGCCACAGGAAGAATGAGGAACTCTTCTCTTTGGAGAAACAACTGTGCTCTGTGGAAAGAAAACAGGTCAGCTGGTTCAGGCAACAAGGCTCACCAGAAAATAAAGAAAAAATGTAAGGTAGATCTGTCTGACAAGTCATCCACGATCCTCAGAATCTCTGGAGAAACCCAAAAAGACATTTTGAGAGAAAAGCAAAGTTCGGAAAGAAATTCCCTGTTAAAGGAATTTAACAGGTTGTCAAGAAAATGTTTCATTTCCATATAATTTCTGGTAGAGCGTTCCACGGGTCCTTAAAAGAAATGGGTTTGTCTTATGTATTTCTCCCCACCCTTTAGCTCACAGCAGCAAAATACACAAAATCCTGCCCAAGTGGCTGGGCTCCACATTTACTGCATTGACCTGAAGATCCCACTCTTCAGAAAAACTATAAATAAACACACAAGAGCACACAAATACATATTCACATGCTGGACACGTTTCCACAAGTCTGTGCTCCGTTGCTTTTCTAAAACCTAAGACTCATCAAAAAAAATGTTATTTCCCATACTCTATTCCCTTTCTCCAAAAATGGATTTCAAGTGAACAAAAGCAATATTTAAGACTGATGTTTAAAATAAACAAACATGGACACGTTTCTAAATTAATTGCAGTGCCTCAGTGTAACCTCAACTAAAATTTATCAGAATTAATTTGACCATGTAGTATAATTTCTTTAAGGTCACTATACTGCATAAATTGCAATTCTGCTTGTTTAGTAAAATCTGGTTGCATGGGAGAGCCTGGAGTATAAGTGAGCTGGTTATGCTATATATAATATTCTTCAGACATGAAGCAATACAGGTAGATTGCTACAGACATAGCTAAAGAAGCACATCATCTCTAAAAATGTTATCTTTTTCTCACAGGTAACTAGTTTCAGTGATCAAAAGGCTTATTTAGAAAAGCCCAGTTACAAACTTTGAGAATCATTTAATGACCCAGCTTTGGTTTCGGCACCACAAGGACCATCCAGTGGATTTCATTTCTGTTAATGAAATAATATGAAATAAATTATCTTAAACAAATTATCTTAAAAGGTAATTTTTAATGGCTGCTCACTGAAGGTGTGACAGAACACTAAACACCCATCCATGAAGTTAGCCTGTTTATTTCTGTAGGTTTTGAATACTTAACCTCAAAAGGTAAAATAAACCCATCCTACATGTACAGCAGGCCTGAGGCAGATCTCAGATCTGCCACTGACTTGTGTGACCTTTCCTTTTAATTATGAGCTTACTCACTTATGAAAAGGACATAATGACACCTGCCCTACACTGAATGCACATAACTTCAGTCATTTCATGCTTCAAAGTACTTTGGGATCAAATTAACAGGTACTACACAACTAATTTAAAACAAGCTCCAGATAGGAAGCATTCAAAAACACTTCAAGCTTTCCACTTATCCAAAAGTGTGATATTAATTACAAACTTGAGACACACAGCTGATGCAAAATCTTTAGAACTGGTACCATAACATTGTAAAACGGGTTATATATCATGCAGAGTGATACCTGGTTCAGACAGCTTGTGTTCATTTACCTGACTAATGCTGAATATCCATGCAGAATATGCTGCAGCCTGCCCCAGTTCACTTTACTTATCAGGCTTGTCAGACACTGATTCTATTAGATATGAGTTTGATATCAGATACAGAATTTCCATTATTCTGTACATCACTGCAAAGAGGAATCTTGGTTTTTACTACTCACTGAGCTCTCTTTTTTAATTTTTACAAAGCCAAGGTAAGCCAGGCAAAGAGAAATACGTATATTAAATAAGCATAAAGTATGTATATTAAATAAGCATGAGTATAAGCAGTGTCTACCATTAAACAGAGCTTAACAACTAAAACATGAATAGTTAAAGCTTAAGGAAACTCTTGATGTGCAAAACCAACACGAGCACCAAAGCTGAGAGCACTGTAACTTCACAGCTGGGGCCTTGAGTTTCCTCAGAGTTCTGTAGCTCTTTCCCTGGAAGGGATGAGGAGAGGAAGAAGGGGTGCTGAATGATTATCCTGTTTGCAAGGAAGATAATCTGGTTTCCAAATGAACAGCAGCTCAGAGCAGCAAGAGGTGGACAGCAGGAATTTGTCTCTGTCCATTTAAGCCCAAGACACAGAAATATGACAACCACAAAAATGCTTCATGAGGGCACTTGAACAAACACTTTCGAAGTCCATGGAGAATAATATGTGGTTTCAGATTTTTGTAGACTTCAGCAAAGTCATTTCTAGGTCTTTAATCTTTTTAATGGACTGGCTATAAACATTTTTTTAAAAGTTTCATTCTGCCAAAGAAAGAGAAGGACTTGGAAGGAAAATTTTTATACCTGCTAAGCACCTACAAGTAAGAAAAAATAATATTCTTGCATCTTTTATTTGTAGGGCTGTGATTATAATATTCATTCTATTGACCAGAGAATCTCTCTGCTGAGATTCAACAGACAAGATGGGGGACAAAATCTGAAATATGAATGTACACAGTGCCTAATAAAACATGCTAGATCTTTCTCAATTACAAGAGGGCGTATAAAAGCAAAACAACTATTTTTTTTTTAAGTCTGTATAAGCACAATAATCTGAAATGCTTCCTTTTAAAACAGTGTACCGCAGATCAGAAATGTATGATCGTGACACATTCATAGAGTCAAAGAGAAGCAAGTTCCAAGGTCCTGGTCGAGGAGATGCAGAAAAGCACCTACTGTAACTTGCCCGGGGAGAACGGCGGCCAGTCCAGGGGGTGATCCAGGGGCCCATCCCATCCCATCCCATCCCATCCCGCGGCCGCACCTCCCTTTTTTAATTTTATTTTTCAAAGCAGGCTGGCGGGCACGACGTTTGCGGTGCCGGACAATTAGCAAGAGCAGCAGGGGGATGCTTGCCAATAAACACCCAGATTTGAGGTTAAGCAGCTGTAAATCTGCATTAATCGTTTCAGGAATTCAGCTATTTACAAAAGCTTTTAAAGAGCAAACAAATAAGAGAAGGGAGGGGAGGAGAGATAGGAGAGGAGCCGATCTGTCCGTACCTTCACACTGCTTCCCTTCCCCTTTATAGCCCGGCTTGCAGATGCATTTGTAGGATTTGGGTGTGTTCTGACAGATGGCATCGATGTGACAGTCATCCGTGGCTTCCGCGCACTCGTCAACATCTGCAAGCACAGAACGAACCCCGAGGGGACAGATCAGGAGGGAGACCTGAGACACACAACACCAGGGACAGGAACTCCCCTCGGAACTGTTTGCCTGCCTGCCTGCCTTCCCATTGTCATCCTGGAAATGGGAACATCTGAGGTTAAATAAGTGAACCTGCCAACGGGATGTTCTCCTCAGGTCGTTTATAAGCACTGCTCCACCGAGCCACAGGGACTGGCTCTCACATTCCCACATTAGGAAATCCTTAGACACTAAAAATCAGCTTCTGCTGTATAGGTCTGGTACTGGAGACCCTTAGTAAAAAACCCAGTGTTTAAATGACCTATAAGAGGAGAGAAAAAAGACCATTTGCGTGTTCTAGCAAAGAGATTTTCCCAATTTATAAAGACAGACTCTAGTTTAAATAAACTCCGCTGGTTGGGGAATGAGAAAAAGGAAATATTTTAACACCAAAACCCCATTAATACTTTTTACTTAGAGGTAAAAAAAAAAAAAAAATAAACGGCAGACCATATGAAACTTGGTAAGTCAGTGCGGAGGAAAGCAACCTGCAATAACATCATCTACTTGGACTGAAACTCATTTAGGAGGAAGAAACTCCCAGCAGTCTCCCCGGCCCCTGCACTGGAAGGGGGGCAGCCAGACCGCTTGTTTTCAGGGTAGGAAGCCTTTACAAACATTTCAGTGACGGGCATTCGGATTTAAAGAGGATGGGGAGGGAGGAGGACGAGTGAGAGACTCGGTAGTCGTGGGAATGTTAATGAAGTGAACATAGGGAGGGGAAAAAAAAAAAAAAAAGGAAAAAGCAGCAGCTCCGACCTATTCAGGGATGGGGTGTGCTGCTAACAGGGGAACATTTAAAGCCCTCCTAACCTGCCCTGCCCCCCGCAGTCCCCCCAGACGGTCCCCGACCACCGCCGGGGAGGCGGTGCCACCCCCGCCCCGGGGACGCCGGGCGGGCAGGGTCGTGTCAGAGCTCACCTCGCGGGGATTTCCTCCCCATTCCACGCCACAGCCACACCTGGGGCTCCCGGGAGCGGACAGGCGGGCAGGGCAGCGCGCTGCCCGGGGGATGGAGCGGAGCACAGCCTCCCCTTTCTGCCCGGGAAGGACCGAGGGCAGCGGGGGAGTCGCGGAGGGACGTCCAGCGAGAGATGTGCAGCTGGTTCCATGCCAGCGAGATTAACAGACCCTCCAAAAAGGTGCACTAAAGTGAAAACAGCTTCGCTGTCAGATTGAAATCCTAACGCTAATTGTTTCAGAAGTGCTCACTCAGCCATCTCCAGCGATCCTTCAAAGTCACCGGGGACAGGAGGGGCTGTTTGGAGAGGGGAGGATAAGCAGACACTGTGGCATGGCACACAGCAGAGAACTTGTCTGGGAGGTGCAGACCGGGGCGGCCCCGCGGGGCACCTCTGGGATCCCACCAAGAGAATTCCCTGGACTCCGTATTGTTGTGGGGGATTTTTTTGTCTTTTTTTCTTCTTTTTTTTTTTTTTTTTTTTTTTTTTTTTTTTTTTAGAAAGAGTAGAACAGCGCAATAAGCGCCGTGATTTTAAGGAGAAACGCAGGGCTGCTGTAATCTGTTCCCTTCTTTCTTGTCCATTCGTTTATTTTAACCACCGAGCCGGTTCAGATCTAGCCATGATTTACGTGAATTAGCTTAGGGGGTCCGAGGGTGTTGCCTAGATCAGGCAGATTCAGTCAAGCACAAAAAGAAAAGAAGTTTTTTTTTTGGGGGGGAGTTGGTTTTTGTTTTTCTTCTTTTTTTTTTTTTTTTAAATGCTTTGGTTCATACTTTTGAGTCATTAAACCGGCACCCATCTCCCATCAAGATCAGCAAGAGTGACAGCTGGACTCTTTATAATGCCGTCAAAAATTCAAACTGCATTGAGCCAAGGGGGACATTTCACAGCAACCAGAGGATGCCTGGGAGTCAGGCGTGAATGCCAATGAGTCAAATGAAAGGGCAAAACCAAATATGAGCCCTTGCTCAGCTCCACATCTCACATTGCGTTTCTCGGACTTTAGGAACTTCTACGCTGACTTCGTTCATTTTGCTGCATTCAGACTCCTCTGTCTGAGGGATTTTTACACGCATCCCCCTCCCAACCCCTCCCCGCTCGTACTTCACCTTAAAGGATTACTTCTAGCACAACTTCAGAGACTGCATACACATCTTTCAAGAACTCACTTTGGGCTTACAAACATTCCTAGACAGACAGGGCTAGGAGCAGGGTGTTTGATTTTTCGGGGTGTTTTTGTGTGGGTTTTTTTTTTTAAAGCAAAGATTTAGTATCATTGCTGCTATTAAACAGAGAGTAAGAAACGCCAGGTCTTCGGGTTAATGCGCAGACAGGGAAAACCTGTGAAGATATCCCAGGGCTCAGCACAGACTTATCTCGCAGGCACTTAAGCAAAGTAACTTTTCCTTCCCCATCTCTGCCCTGCACAAGTCCCTCGGCTCCGGCTGTGTCAGACACGCGAGAAAACGCCTCCCCACCGCAACTTCCAACACCCCCGGGTGTTGGGAAACGACCCTCCCCTCGGCACCTTACAGCGGGGCGAGAGCGGCGCGCAGAGACAGACGGACAGACGGACAGACGGACACGGCTCCCCCCGGGGCCGCCGCGGCGGAGCTCCCCCTTCACCTCCCCCCGCTCCCTCCCCGCTTCTCCTTACCTGCGCCCCCGCTGCCTCCCGCCAACCTGCCGGCCCAGGCGAGGGCGAAAAGCAAACAGCAGCGGCGCGCAAAGCAAACAGTGCCCATGATAACGATGCGCTGGCGGCGCGGGAGCGCGATAAGGGACGCGCCGGGGCGGCCGCGGAGCCGGCGGGCGCTGACCGCCGCAAGCACAGCGCACCGCTGATTCGCCGCGGAGCGCCGCGGGGCGGGGACGGCCGGGGCAGGGGCCGCCCACGGGGAGGGAGCGCCGCGGGAACGCGGCACGGGGATGCCCGCCGAGGGGCGCGGGAGGCGGGGGACGAGCCGCGAATCGGGACGCGCGCGAGCCGTCCCCAGGGAGGGAGGGAGGGAGAGTGCGGGTGACGGGGAGAAGAGGGAGGGGTGGGTGGAGGGGTGGACAGGAGGATGGGTGGATGGAGGGATGGGTGGATGGAGGGATGGGTGGATGGAGGGATGAAGGGATGGACGGACGGATGGAGGGATGAAGGGATGGACGGACGGATGGAGGGATGAAGGGATGGACGGACGGATGGAGGGATGGACGGACAGAGGGAGGGATGGACGGACAGAGGGAGGGATGAAGGGATGGACGGACAGAGGGAGGGATGAAGGGATGGACGGACAGAGGGAGGGATGGACGGACAGAGGATGAAGGGATGGACGGACAGAGGGAGGGATGAAGGGATGGACGGACAGAAGGAGGGAAGGGATGGATGGACAGGGGGATGGAGGGTTGGGTTGGTGCAGGGATGGGTGGCTGGAGGGATGAAGGGATAGATGGACAGAGGGATGGAGGGAGGGCAGGTGGATGGATGAGTGGATGAAGGGATGGATAGATGGAGGGAGGGATGGGTGGGTAGAGGGATGGAAGGATGGACGGACAGAGGAATAGAGGGATGGGTGAGTGGAGGGATGGAGGGATGAATGGAAAGAGGGATGGAAGGATGGGTGGACAGAGGAATGGAGGGTTGGGTGGGTGGAGGGATGGAGGGATGAATGGAAAGAGGAATAGAGGGATGGGTGAGTGGAGGGATGGAGGGATGAATGGAAAGAGGGATGGAAAGAGGGATGGAAGGATGGGTGGACAGAGGAGTGGAAGAATGGGTGGGTGGATAGATGGAGGGGCGGGTGAAGGGATGGACAGGTGGATGGAGGGAGGGAGGCATTAAGGGATGGATGGGTGAGTGGATGGGTGGATGAAAGGACAGAGGGATGAGTGGATGGAGGGACAGGTTGTCAGATGGATAGATAGATGGGTGGGTGAGTGGAGGGATGGATGGGGTGAAGGAATGGATGGACAGAGGGAGGGATGGGTGGCCCCACACAGCGGGCTGTGAGGGCAGGCTGGCAGACATGGCTACCCATCTCCTCGGCAACTGCAGGCAGGGATCCTTCCCCTTTCCCAGGCTCAGGCTAAAACACAACTTTGTTTTGGTCGCCCCTGCCTCCCTCCCAACTTCACCTAACTCCATCCCCGCCTGCCACCAGCCACTGGCCTCCTCCAGGGCTATGCCGTGGAGACAATTGCCCCTTTCCAGCCCTTCCCCCCATCTCACTCCTCCGAGTCCTGCTCTGGATCCAGCCAGGGCTCTGCAGGTGACCAGTGTGGTCCTGGCCCAGCCTGGGTGGCATGCCCTCCCCAAAATCATCAGGGAAGCTGCATTGCCTCTGCTGCAGACAGACACGTGAGTGCCATTGTCACCAGCACCCTGGAGGAGAAAATCCATCACTTAAGCCCAAACATCAGAAATGTGCCCCCTCAGAGGCAAACTCCGGGACGCTGGAGTCTTCCAGGCTGTTTTTAAAGGACTGGAACAGCTTGCAGACGTCCCCTGTGATGTGCCCCCCTATTTGCTTTACACCTTTCTTTCACAGACACTCCCCCTGCTGAAATGCTTTGCTACTTTAGGTTGTTTCAACTCCTCCTAATTCCCCAGCGAGGCTGTTGTGTGCGACATCCACTTGTCATCCGGAAAATAAATACACCCCGGCACAGCCTTGGATGCCTCTTTTTGACAAGTTCCTCCCAAATGTGTGCGTGTCTCAGTACGGTTCTCCCAGAAAACAGCACTCTTTAAGTACCTTTAAGCCTGAAGAGATGGGAAGGAAATGTAAGAAAAGTTGCTCAGCCCGTAGTAAAAGCACAAACCACCGTCCTTATCCTTCATAAACCCGAACTGCCGCTGCACGGTGCCAGAGCTGTTTGCTCTCCGCGTGTTTACACCTCGACTTTGGGCATTCCCGGCCCTAATCCTTCAGGGCTGGGGCAGCGGTTATTGCTGTTTTAAATCCGGTCCCTTATTTTTTTTGTGCGTGTGACTACGCGGAGGTGCGGCGGTGAATTCCATGCCCCAGCCTTCCCATGGATACGCGGAGCGTTCCTGCCGCGGAGGTCCCCAGAGGGATCACCTGGAGCCTTGGAGTGCCACCTAGTGACCTGCCTATGGAATGTTGCAGCAGAGCGACCCAAAAGCTTTTCCAAGGCTTTGGAAGTATGAGTTTCGTCCTAGGTGAAAAGCAAAGCTAAATCTTCTTCCCTCCCCCCCCCCCCCTTCCTTTTTTTTTTTTTTAATATTTCATAACTGGCTTTGTCATTCTGCTTCATGAAATCACGCTAAAATTTATCACGGGACAAATTGTCCAGAATGTTTATCTTTCATGAAGGAATTAACTAAAATTGTCTAAAAAATGAACTCTCTCAACTTTTTAAAAAGCCACGGTGCAACAGAGCAGTTTGATAAAGCAACAAAACACTCCCAGCTGCCTCGATGTTCTCTACCACATATTATATGTATACATGATATTTCTACCCTGAATATATAATTATATGCATTTATAGTCTGTACAGTACTTCCCCCACCTGTACAGCACTCAGGAAAGGGAGTCACCTTGATCCAAATATTACATTATGGGAAGCACCACCCATGTTTAAGCTCTCTACCAAAGTACTTGAGCTCTGCCTAAGAACCTTTGGGCAGCCTGCAACAACAGCTTGCATGTTAATTGGCTTCTAGTGTTCTTCCCTACCAAGGAAGGAACTATTCCAATAAAATAATAATAAAAATTAATAATGAAAGAGGTGTTTTTTATCAGGACCCATCTCTTTATAGAAGGTCCATGAAGAGCTGAATATCAGGAAAGGGCATAAATAGAAGAGTGGCTGCAGAGCAGCAGCCTTGCCTTCAGAACACCTCCTCCCACAGACACAAACCATCCCAAAAATGCTTTGAGAAGACAGAAGAACATCTGCAGAATTATCTGGTTTCCTGGTTTGCTATTTATGAACACCTGTATATTGGGGCCAATGCTGCCTCAGGAGGCAACAGGAGCTATAGATAGGGCTGTGAATCACAGCAGAGACTGAATAGCCTGTGCAAACCTGAGCCAGTGGCTGTACCTCTGTGTTTCTGTTTCTCTTCCTTCCTTCTGTCCATCCTGTCCATTTACAGGGAGAGCCCATTGCAGCAGGGCCTGTCTTTCACTGTGTTAACACAGCACCTTTCAAAATAACACACTAAACTTACTTTGTCTGTCTCCCCAGTTAGGGCTTTTATGAGGCCAGTGAGACATATCTCTGACCCCTTTAACTTCAGTTCTCTTTCCCAGAACTGTACTTTGAAGAACTGAGAGAAGCCTGGCACCCTCAGATGAGGGGACAAGGAGTCCGTGTGCCAGAATTTGTGCAGGGAGCAGCTATACTTTGAACCCTGAATCATATATCTCCAAGCTTTATTTAAATATTTCCTATTAGGAAGAAAGAAACAATGTAAAACCAGCTCTTCAAAGCATATTTTGCATCTCTACACGTACTTGGGGGAAGCTTTTGAAACTAGAGGCAATGGACATGAACAGCACCACATGCTCAATGCTGTATTACTTCTTTCCAGGAAAATACAGCATCTAAGTGAGATTACAATCAATTTTATCTCACTCTCTCATCAGTGAGACAATGTGTGAAACCTTGTGGAAGTAGTGGTAAATTTGGATATTCTGGAAAAAAAGAAAAGGTGTGAGCCAGTGCCAAACTTTGAAGAGATACATCAAGTCATGGTCTAGGACAGCTACTCTCCTATTTCTACTGTACTGTTACCTTCCTCCAAAACATGTCACCTCCTTCATCCAACTGACCCTCCCCTTTCACTGTTACTGGGAAGAGCAATGGAGTTGGTTTTTTATTTCCTGCTTGAATCATAACCACCAAGAGGGAAAGATGATGATACTAATGAAGAGATGGAACATACCACCATCACCACAAAGGGTAAAGCAGAGTAAATCTTCCATTAGTGGTACTCACTCCATCCTAGTTTTATCAAGATGAAGATTAATCTCAAGCAGGTGAATAAGGACTTGATGCAGGAAGAGCTGGATAAAACTTTATAACCTTCATTTTACAGGAGATTGGTTACAGCAGTCTCTCCTGAAATGAATAAGGAACCCTTAAAAACCTGCAAGAGAAATTGCACTGAACAAGGTTTTATGTACAACCTGCTCTGAGATGCCACCAACAGGTGGAAGAGGATGACAAGGACCTGTGGAAACATGCAGCTGAAAAGGACACCTCTCTGAAAGTCCTGTTGGAGAACTCTGTTGCCAAAATCGTGGTGGTGCTGTGTCTTTGTGCCCACAAGGAGATGGGCAGCAGCAGTCTGAAATGGTTTGCTTCTAGGAAGTTAAGGCACAAGGGAGCCAGAAGGGAAATATCAAGGGGAAAAAAAGGGTCCCGTTGCTCTTTGCCCATCCACTAACTTCAGACCAGAGCAGGATCAGGATTTTTACTCATTGACTCCTCCAGCAAAGTCTTTAAACCCGTGACTTGGTGGTCCTGGCTCCTGATCTGCTACAGATTCCCTCCCATTGTATCTTAGCCTGGGCAGTTCAGTTACTCTCAAAATGAATTTCACTGATTATTGTGCTTGCAAAGAAGTTATTGTATTGCAGCTGTTTTAAAATGCCACTCTCTTGAACACCACAGTCTAAAAAGGCCAAGCAACTCAGAGGAAAGTACTGTCTTGGGTATTTTGGGCTTTATCACAGCAATTTGAAATCTTTAATCCTGGATAGCCATTAACTGCTCTGGACTGCACAGGACAGCAACCCAAAT